ACACATTGGAACAAAAACACACCAATACCCTACGTGCTACTCGTTTCACGACCATACCCCGCAAGAATAGGCGTTTTGTGCATTGTCAAATAGTCAGATTGTTGATTCTTGTCGGCTAGCAGTTTCAAGAGTTCATAAGACAGCGCCTGCAATAATCTATAACATTTCATCCTACCGTGTTTACAATTAGGCCCAATAAGTTACGTTCGTCACATCCAATTGGACTACCTGCACAAATTTGACCAGAATTTAGTCATAGCCAATGAATGACGTGTTCTGCTTTAATTCTGCAGCCAGTAAAAAATACGAGAAACCGAAGTAGCATTTACATATCAATTTTGATTTGATCTTTGTTTTACTGAACTGTTTCTATTGGCGGACCATTCAATTTAGCCACTTGTGACTCTCGCCATTCGACCCACGCACGCCGGTCTGGCCTGTTCTTTGTCCCTCTCTCCCTTCCCGCACTCTCGCCTTCCTCAAGGCACGACCGTGAGTCCGAGGGCAACACCAACCCTCCTCGCGTCCATCCCTTTCCCCACTCTAACCCTCCCTGAGCCCCTGCCCTCTGAGTTTGTATGCGGTAGTATGGAATACATCCGGTTCTTCCAGCTATTCTTCTATCGTGTGCCTGGTAGCTAACCATGATGGTGTGGCTATCTAAGAGGGACGGGCTTACAGTCATCTCCCTATTTAGGTCCCCGCTCGGTAGGCGCGTTACACACTAACAGCACTGTTGTTTAAATTAGCAGTTTGCTATTCTTATTGAATACAAGTGTTTAACGTTCAGGGTTATCCTTGTTGTTCATCGATTCCGGCTGGTCTGCTGGTGAGTATGTAAACTGCAGTTATTTCAGCCCCAGGAAGCGAAACAGACTGCCAAGTTGGGTAAGCAGTCTAGATGTCTGTGGATCCGTGACTCTATCTGCAGAGTAAGTGGTCGACGAACTCAACATCATTACTCACTCTCGTTTTAGCAAGGCACTTGAAGCGGTGGTCTAACGTCGCAGATGATTAGCACGTGGAAGCACCGTGCAACTAAGTTGCTATGACGAGGCATGCCTTAGAGACGCGCGCGAGTCGCAGAGATCTGCGACAAATGCGCAAAAAGGTCATCGAGAGTGTTACTAATTATCGCGAGGTTTTGGCCAGTTGTCGCTGATTGATCGAAGGTGCTGCCATGAGTCGAGACACGATTGCAACGTGATAGAGGTCTCATCTACTAAATCTAGTGTAAATCAGTGACTACAGAAATGAACAGTTCCAAGCTCGACACAGGTGGTAGGATGATTTCGGGTTATCTCAAGTTCGAGGCCCCAAATTTTATAGTGAAACGTGGGATTTTTTGGGGGGATTGGCGGATCCGATCGATGAGCATTTGATCCACTACTATCAGACCACTTGGGAGCCTGCAAAAACCGCTTCTCATTGGCCATTAACACGACAGTGGCCTACCTTAAGGAGGAGTTCACGAAGTTTGTCGTACTCAATGCTAAGTCGGGCTAGGGCCTTTTCACTCTGAAGACGTCGCTCCGCCAATGTAGCTCCTGCCGCCAATTCCGCCTGTCTAAGGCGCTCTGTCAGCTGTTCGTTCTCAGCTCTGAGGTGCTCCACACCTTCTGTGCTTTGTTTTTTCGCCAAATTCCGCTTGAGTCGACTGTTTTCTGCCAAAATGCGGTCCAGAACAGACTTCATTTTGACGATCACGACTTCCAGTTCACCCGCAGACTTGCCGCTACTGGGGGCCTGGGATGGGGAAGTTGGTGGAAGGCAAAATGAGATGAGATGCATTGCGATTTTAACAGTGCTGTACCATGATTACATACCGCTAAAATATTGCAACACCTCGAACGGCCACACAACGTAACTGACCTTGAGGTGACCAATAGGGAATGAGTCGGCATTTAGAGGCCAATTTGGCTTCAGTTGGGTGTTAAAAAAGAAGACAATGACTTGGTGGCTCTAGCTCGAGTCCCCCCACATCGAAAGCTATCCACTAGTTGTGTCTCTTTTGGGGAAAATCAAACGAGCGAGTTTACCTGCTTTACTTCAATCGAACCAATAGCATCGTCCAGAGACGGGGAATAGGGTCTTGTTAATTTCAACTGAGATATCCGCGCGTTTAGCTGTTCAACTGACGTCTTCAGTTCAGCATTCTTAATCTAAAATTGCACATTTTGTTTGAAATTTTCACAAAAATTTCAAATCTAATCGGTCAAGTCAACTCATTGGAAAAGTATTTTCATCAAATTTGACAAAAATCATGTTAATTAATGGGTTAGAATGAGAACATGTTTGGTGATCAAAGTTATGCAAAGAACCGCGGAAATTGGAGAGAGTACAGCGGCCGTGGGAGAAATTCATGTGGATTTGATTCCTTTCCTGACCATAGAAATCTACATAGGCACTGGTAATTAAATTTTGCTACTTACGTTAATAAGTAGGGAGAATATAATATGGTAAATTTATAGATTTCGCACTATGCTTATCACTGGGAACATTGTAACCTCATCATTGATTAGCACACCCAAAAGAGGTGACATTCTGGCATGAATCCTTTTTTTTTACCTTCAACTTTGCATTCTCCTTTCTGGCGGAGTCCAACTCGGAATATAATTGGTCGGTTGAATGTGGGCGTTCGTCGGGAGTTAGTCGAAAGGAGAGGTGGCGGTTATTTCCCCCTGGCACGTTTCCTGTCCTTCGCAATATGCCACCCCGCGTTCCCGGCGACTGTGTTATCGATCGCAGGCGCTCCACAAGAAGCCGATTTTGCCTACATGGACATTCATTTAAGCTTTATTGGTTAATGGGCTGTCATATTTTTCGACATTTCACTATTTTGATGAAAACGTACTCTTCCATTTGTCTCAGACTAGCATTATTCAAGAGGAGCTGCTTCCTGGCCACTGCAGTTTCCCTCTGCGACTCATCGAGTTTCCGTAACGCTTGCTTGAGTTCTGCTTCTGCGTGCTTCTTTCCTTCATTAGCGATGTTGTACTCTTTCTGAAACAAGACATTACCAACCACGCACAATCATCGCTACTGATTAATATAAGTAGCAATAATTAAATAACTGCGAAGTGGATTACCAGGAGATAAAAATTATGATCCAAGTCTGCGAACTGCACAGGATTTTTCAGCCCAGCATTCTCTGCCTTCAAATGGCGTATATCTTCAGACAATTGGCTGATTACGCGTTTGTCGACCGTAAATGTCTAAATAACAACAAAATTGTTGAAACCGTACGATGTACCTTTTTCGACTGCGCCTCTGCAGACAGTTTGGTATTTTGCGATTCCAGCTGTGAAATTCTGGCGTTTTGGCGCTTCTGGATTTCCGTTTTCTTATCTGCAATGAGAACAATACTACTTATTGACGTACAAGCAGTGTGCACATCAGTTTTGGAATGATATTAGGACTTCAGATCAGAGAATCGGGTGCGTTCCTATCCCTGTCGTTAATCAGCCAATAGTGAGAGACCTATTGAACGTCCACTAATCGATGAAAAATGCTGAGAACAGAAATAAATATTGCCAGCAAAGGTGAATGAAGTGGGATCTAGGGTTTAAATGCACTTGACTATTGGCCTAATCAATTCTTGCGTTGTCTTGCTAAAGATTAGCACCGTTTCATAAAAGAATGTTTGGATCTCTCTGGAGCAATGTCCTGTCCAGCCCATTAAGCAGTGGGAACTAACTATTAACAGTCCTAGGTATATATATTTCCACATTTTGTAGCCGATTCCCGATTGGTCAGCATGGGAAATCGTAATTAGCGCTCTCGCATTGTTTGAATCACCACCGACGCATTCTGAAGTCAACCTGATCACTGGAATTCAAAGATACACAGATGCAGTGTCCATGGTGGCAGCAGTGCGGACTTGGTTGCTACGGCAACCACACTCCTTACTTAAATGCCTCAAAGACAAAACCGCCAATGACTCGAAAAGTACCCAGTTGCGAGGTCAAACTCTTGACTTTTCTGTTGAGTTCCTCAACAAGTTCGCCTTCTTGCCGATCTTGGACGTGTGATGGAGTCTGAGGTGGCGGTGGTGGTGGTCGTTGAGATCTCAGCAAGTCAAGCTTGTCCTGCTGCGCACGCGACAGAGTCGTCTGGATTTTCTGCATGAGGGAAAGTTGAAATTTTGCAACCAAAAACACTCCCAAGACGTGGCGAGATTGTCAAGAATGATAGCTGGTGAGTTAGTTTCGACGCAGTAACATGGATTTCTGAGGCCTTAGCAGAAATATTAGACGTGGTTTTTTTCAAATTCTAGAGGCTGATGAAGCCAAACAGTTTTCGAACAGGGACGACGTCAATAAACGCCTCAGTCAGTTAAATGAGACAGTGTCGACGTCAACCACAAAGCGAAGTCATCCAATCGTGTCAGCGCCTTACCCACCTGAACTTCCAGCTGCTTCATCGCCAGCTGCCCTTGAAGGTCTGTGGACTGCGCCCGCAGGAATTTGACTGCTTTCACCAATTCACGAATTTGTCCATCGCGAGTTGTCAGCGCATCCTCCAAGTTCGTCACACAAGACAGAATCACGTCATTTTCACGTCTACAAAGCAGGAGCCAATCACGAATCTCTGAGAAGCGCCAACCCACTGTGAAAGGGACAAGTCAGAGGTGGAAAAATGACCTGACGTTAGCTTCCTGTTCACTGGTTTTGGCGTGTGCGCGGTTGACTTCAACTAGAAGTTGGTGCATTTTGGAAGAATTGACGTCGAGCTGTGTTTTGGCTGACGCCACAAGGTCACTCATGCGGTGGAAAATCTCAAGGTTGTCGGCGTTGTTCTAAAGACAGACAAATCGGGGAAATAAGTTTCGCATACTTGACATTTTACGTCAGTTTCGATTTTTGACACATATCATACTAACTACTGAAGGATCATTTGTGAATATGCCTTGCCTCCGTATTAAAATGCGCTGATTTGAGCTCAACGATTAGATCGCTGACTTGTTGAAGAAGGCGGCTGGCGCACTGAACACCCTCAGACCTGGCAGATAGACTCCCGTGGATGGTTTCAAGCGCCGACAACAGCTCAAGGTCACGGGCTGACCTAGAGCCTCCTTCACTGCCGTTCAACGCCACGTGGGTAGACTTGGTCATGCCTCTGTGTCAAATCCTTGGCCCGAATGCTCTTCGATCAGATCACCTTGGAAAACCACGAAGTTATCTACTAGAGCAGAGGACAGAAGACGGTTAAGCCTAATCAGGCCCAACCAAAATTAGATAAAATTGCTATAAGAACTTCCAGCCGACGGTTCTGAGCCTATCACAGAACACAGCAACGCCTTATTATTACCCTTTAAATTTAAACCCATCCAGTCTGCCGGGCACACCATTTTGAAAAGTTCATATCGACCGCGCACAACCTAATCACACGTATTAAGTGGTGCGTGTATGCACATTCGTTCTACACAATCTATTAGCTCAAGGCTGTCACTAACAAAGCAAATTCTGTTTGTTAAAATTTGAAAATGAAGTCTCATTGCTTTTGGGGGAAGTCAGGATTCACACATAGCGAAAACCAAAATGCAGTTCCACTGAAACACAAAACGTGTTGGTGATGGTCTTCCGCTACTTGTTTTTGTGCCATCGAAGGAGTCTTTGATGCTACAAACGCCACCCACATTATACGAAAGCCTCTGATTGGTCCGAACATTCAGCTAGATGTGGTCGCCTAACGCTGATGCGTAGAACGCCGTGCTGTCCTAGCGCCTGCTACGACAATTAGATGTCCGCAACGCAAATAAACTCAGTACAATGTGCCACTTCCCCCATGTAAGTGTGCGTCGAATCTCGCTACTAAATGGTAGTTAGTAGTGAAGCTATGACTTCAAGCGTTAAAAAACTGGGACGAGGAGGGAATATCCGTTGTGTTTATTGGTGACATGCGCTAACAAGGCCCGACCAAAAGAAGAGCTGAAAGTGCGGATGGCGCGCAGCTCGGCTAATTTGCTGATGCAATGGCGGTGGTGTGAGTACAGCGTGAAATGTCATTTTACATCGTATCGGGTAAACATCGGTCTTTGAACGGGCATAGTTGCGTGCAGTGCATTCAGGTAAACCAATGGAATCATAACTGCTCACGCTTTCTACTAGCTTTCCGATCACGATTGTTGTGGTCGCTTGCTTCTCACCAAAAGTAGCTGTATTAGAAATCAACTCATTACATAAACGACTGATAACTACAATTCGATAACGCATGAAACCCAATATTTTACAAACGAGCTACTTATTAACTGTAAGTAACAATAAATATTAAACGAGTAAAGGCTGGTGGGGTCAAAAAATTACTTCGTATTTTCGGCAGCACAGGAGACGTCATTAATAAAAAGTTATTTATTAGCAATCGAAATGTGACGTTCTAGTCAATGAATGTTATTTTAAATAAACACTGTAAGAGGCGCAAAAAAATATTTGAGAACAAAAGTTCCCAATAAAGATTTACTTGTCAAAAAAGCAATTTTTTCTCATTGGAAAAAAATGCAATTCCGGCATAAAAAATAGGAGGTGGATTAAGTTCATATGACAAGAAATTTGTTACAACAACTGCACACTCATGTTCACAAACTTAACTTGGTTTTTTTCGTAAAATCAATTTACAACAATATAATGACTCATGATTTACAGAAAATTGCTAAAATTTTGCACTAACAAGAATTATTTCGCAGAGGTACGGCTGAAAGACGAAAGACTTTATCAAATCCCTAAATTATTTCAAACTCTACTATATGTTTTCACACAACGCGTAGTTAAAAGTCATTTTAAGAAAATGGAACAGTTTGGAACTACGCCGACTAAATCGATATTCAGCGCCGCTAAGGTACAGGCACCACTAGACAGAAACTCGTTTAATTGAAATGAGAAATGCCATCCTGTGCCAACCACGCAGCAAGAAATAGGATACTTTGTGATCTCGAGTAGGTGGAAGCATTTTCTAAGAAGAAATGGATATTTGCCATTCAAGTAACATTTGTCTTTCCAAAATACTACTGTCTGCTGTAAGTAGTAGGTAGAGAATGCAGCAAATCATTTGACAGCTTTGCGACTTTTAAAGCACACGCCGAGATAAAAACATTTAAAATAGCAGTGGTTTGCATTATATGTAACCAGTTTTAGTTTCGAGCCGAAAATGAAAAAAACAGAGGTACAACAAAGAACATTTAAATGAGGATGAAGCAACGGATAAAAATTAATTGGCACGGCAAATCTGACCATCTAGCATATTGCACAACCTTTTTAAGTGCAACTGTTGCAGACTACTCTTGAACAGACCCACACTTTAAATTAGAGCATCAGCAGCATTAAAAATGAGTACATTCTCAGCAAACCACCTTTCGGAACATAATACGGGCATTCAAAAACAATAAACTTGTAGTATCCATGGCGTAAGAAAACGAATTATGGTCACTGTGAATCATGAAGAAACATGCATATTCGCAGCAGACACTTTCGGATGAAGCAGTTCCCCATGAAAGTGTACCTTTCATCAGCTGTCCACATTCGATATTATTTTAATAGTATATTATTGAATTCCACAGAAAAAGCAATTTGAATAAAAGAAATAGAAGATAAATTAGACCATCTTAAAAAATATAACTAATCATTTCAAAAAAGACTACCAGCTAAGCTAAAAAACTAAGCACCAGAAAGCAAAATGCAAAAAAAGTAGATTAAACCTTAATCGTAACACCTTAACCACAAAGCCCACATCAAATGCATAAAAAAACATACAACAAACACGCTATAATGATCGACATGTTTCGATATTTATCAAAAAAAACAAATAAGAAACAAAATAATTATGACTGTAAGGGTAGTCAAAATACAAAAAAGAAAAACACAAAAACTGACATACAATACAAAAATTTAAATACACCCACTTAGTCTAGTAGAGGTCAAAAGTACATACACGGAACAAAAGAGCAAAATATTATTTAAAAAAAAACTAAAAAAACTGAGCAGATATTCATACTATATCAGCCTTCAGACGGTGAATGAAAGCAGGTAAAAGCATATGCATTACGAATAAAATTAAATTATACATGCACAAGCAACAAACATGGTATCGTGTTGCCTAAAATGATATAAAAAAGAAAACTAAAATATTTAGTTAAAAGTTAGAAAAATTATACTTTAATTTGACGTGGAAATCTGGTTTGTACAAAAAGAGCCTCTTAAAGTTATCACAGCGGAATTAAAAGCATGCCAGTGGAGCGAATGTTTATATACTTTGCAAATAGCGCATTAAAATGAACAGGAAACATTGAAAAATGATATCTTCAAGCACATAGGTAGCTAAATTCTTTTCATATCCAGCACCTCAAAGGCCATTAAGTTACAAATGCTACCCGACTATTGCTCCATTTTGTAAATCAATTGATTTGTAGCAAGAAAAGTATGAGAAGTTTAGGGAAATTTAAAATGAAAGCATAAGCGTAAACTGATCAAAAGCGAATTATTTATCAAAGACCTACCTTATCATAAGGAACGATATTTCGAAAAATTGGGGATTTTCCTAAACCTACAGTGTAAATAACATTTCGATTTCAAAAAAAAATTGATGCATACATCGAGAAATTCTCCTGTTTACCTTATCATTAAAGCGTGTCACAGGCAATCTTTCATAAACATGCTGGGAGATCTGCTTACGACCAGCTAGATTGGAAGAAAGTGTTGCACTGTTTTAAAAAATATTTATACGTCTCCGTAAATATTATGAAAAGCATTTTGAAATAGTATATCAAAGGCGCAAATTTTTTATGGACATAAAATTTATATGACTAAATTCAATCAGTCGAAAAAATCAGGATTTCTATGGTTTTGGCATAAATTCGATGTAGTTGACGGTTGGTAAATCTGTGCTCGAAGTAAGGTCAATTTTACTAATAATAAAAATTACTTGCATATGGTTAATCATAACCTTAGATTAGAAAAAAATTTATTAAATGAGGAGTTCTTGTCCATTTCATATATCGCATATTTGAAAAGTTAAAGATCAAAATTTATTACCCTAAAATTAAGTTGACAGCAGATTTCATTAGATAGCCTTCACAAGACAAAGATTTAAGGCATAAAACAACAGATGCACAAAATAAATGTTGCTGACAATTTTGAAAATTGCAATGATCGCTTGTGGTTCTCCAGTTCTATATTTCAGTTTGGAAATTTCCTTATCCTTTAGCACGTTTTAGGATAAAAATTGTTATTTTAATCCAGAAATATTTGCAGTGCAAAGTTTTTTGCGATGTCTCAGTATATAAAAATTCAGTAAGATTGATAATTGCTGTAATTTTCATTCTTGTTTAAGTTGATGGAAAATTGATTTGGGTCGTTGAATATTTGGAGGCTTTCGCTATTTTAATGACGAAAGGAGTTGATCCGCAGCACGGATCTTCGAAACGTGGAATGGGGGTTAGTAATTAATCAGCATACTGGTTTTGTATCTTAGTGTTCTGGCTTTTCACGTTTCTAATGTTTATATGTATTATAATGGAAATTTCCGCATTGCTTTTGTATAATTTCCTGTTGCCTAACATCTAAGATATTAATTAAATCGCCTTTTTGAGACTGTATAACCACTTAGTCATAAATATGATGTGCTTCGTTTTTTACTATCATCCAAATAATTTTAAATCATCGTTGCATTTTTTGATTTATCTTTTTTGTTTTAAGGGGGAAACTTGCGAAAGTCTTTTGCGTGCTGCTCGTGCAGGAGACACTCAAAAAGTTGTGGATTTAATCAATTCGGGCGTTAATATAAATGCGACGAACCCGGTAAGTGTTCCTCTGGGAACATATAGCATTTTTAGTTTTAATTTTCTCTGCCGCGGAACCGGAAAAGTTTAATATGCTTGATTATTGTAGTTTGAAATGCATTTGCCTAAATGTGTTGATAAACATTCATATACTTATTTCATCTTATTGATGAGGTTGTTGCATGTCTATCGATTCTTCGTCTCGACTACTGTTCGGAGTCAAACATCACGCAAAATTGAAAAAAAATTAATTGTTGACCTGTTTCCATCAGTCCATTCACCGAACCAAAATGCGGCCAAACCCTTTCTTCGCTTTGTGATTAAGCTTGTAATTAGAACATACTGCATTTTAAAAAACTCCAGCGGTTGCATTCCTATTCTCAATGGTGATATCGCTGTAAATTTAATTAACGGAATTGGGAATATTGCTTAGACACGCGACGATGTTGTAAGCAAATCGATGTCAGATTTTCGTAGATGCTGTAACCCATTTCTTCTTGTTTCATTGTCGTTTCCAATTACTACCAATTGTTTTTAAGTCACCTAAAATCTGCACTTTAAATCGCCGCAGCTATGGTATGTTAAATTTCTTTGAATTTAAATTGATTTATATTTTTTTCGTGGACTTTTAGTGTGTAATCCTGTTGCACTTTTAAGAACTACACCATTACCTTATGTAAATATCCAGGTAAAGACAGGATGTAAGTATTGTTTAGCTCACAAGGTTGTACTATTGTTTATTAATGCGCTTACCATGATCACTACCAATAGGTAACCTCAGCTAATAAAATTGATTGATATACCTGAACTTACAACGCAGTCACGCGAGATGGATTGCGTAGTAGCATAGGTCTTTTCGATGATGTTTTTTAAACACTTGTGGTAGCTACGTCATTGCTTTTTAAGTAACCTTTAGCGCCTCCTTTTTATAGTACCCACCACAACCTTAAATGTGCGCAATCTAGGTGCCTATCATAAGTGATTTTCCGTGTTTTTGACGTTAGACTGGACTGACAGCGCTGCATCTCGCTGCAAAAGAGGGCCACATTGCGGTTGTCAAAGAGTTGATTCTTCATGGGGCCGATGTTAATGCTGCCTCGAAGAAAGGCAATACAGCCCTTCACATCGCCTCTTTGGCTGGCCATCTGGACGTAGTAAAAGCCCTTATTGACGCCAATGCCAATCCCAACTGCCAATCAGTGGTGAGTTTAGCTTTTGCCAACAATTCCAATGTCATTGGATTGTCGAACGTGCATGGTAGTGGTCTAAACCTTCGCATGACAAAGACTAAGTTTAAAGCCTACAGAATGTTTTGTGTCGAAGCAGCCATACACTTATCCGCGCCAATCCGAATGATGAAACCCTCTATTCCAGAGTTCTTAACATGGAAGCCTGTGCGCTGGCATGACCTGTCTTGGCCTTTCTCTCCTAGGTTGGTTTTACTCCACTCTACATGGCAGCCCAGGAGAACCATCTGGACGTAGTCATCCTATTGCTCAATAAAGGGGCCAATCAGTCGCTTACGACAGAGGTATGCTTTGTGAAATACCTCCTCACTTACCGACGCATGAACCGCTTTATCATTGTCGGATAGACGTTTCCTACTGGCTGCATTTCTCACAAAGGAATCCGTGTGAACCGTCATTTTATTTGCCAATGTCAATTCACTGTCTGATGGCTCCACTTTATACCTCTATTTGCGTGTGTCGTTTAGTAGCTTCGAAGCAAGTTTATTGCCCAGCATTTACCAGTACCTAATTTAGAAGTCGACTTTGCACGCGATTTTTATTTGGTTGAGCTTGCTAGCTTCCGGATTTAGTAGGCACTCAAAAGTGGTTGTTTCGTGCCTCTCTTTGGTACACCATTGCGTGTCGCATACACTTAGGCGGGTCTCAGTTATAATTCACGAAAATTTGGGTGTGTGTGTCTGTTTGAGGTAATACTAGCATCGCAGTAACCACCATCGCCTCCACCACCACCACCGCTTCCACCACCACCGCCTCCACCACCACCACCGCCTCCACCACCACCACCGCCTCCACCACCACCACCG